TAGTTGAAATTTTCCAAACTTTTTTTGTGATCCATAGAAATGCATTTTACATTGTGACCTAGCATATACATACATATGCATATGCATATTACATGGATATATAACTGAAGCAAAAATTTCATGAAATAATACTGTTTTTTTTTTTTTTGAGACAGAGTTTCACTCTTGTTGCACAGGCTGGAGTGCAATGACACAATTCCAGCTCACTGCAACCTCCGCCTCCCGGGTTCAAGCAATTCTCCTGCCTCAGCCTCCCAAATAGCTGGGATTACAGGCGTGCACCACCATGCCTAGCTAATTTTGTACTTTTAGTAGAGACAGGGTTTCACCATGTTGGTCAGGCTGTTTTCGAACTCCTGACCTCGAGTGATGCACTCGCCTCGGCCTCCCAAAGTGCTAGGATTACAGGTGTGAGCCACCATGCCTGGCCAGTGCACTTTACTTCTATTATTATTACATTGTAATATATAATAATTAATTATACAACTCACCATAATGTAGAATCAGTGGGAGCCCTGAGATTGCTTTCCTGCAACCAGGCAGTCCCATCTGGGGGTGATGGGAGTCAGTGACAGATCATCAGGCATTAGATTCTCGTAAGGAGCATGTAACCTAGATCCCTCACATGCACAGTTCACAACAGGATTCACACTTCTATGAGAATCTAATGCTACTGCTGATGTGACAAGAGGCGGAGCTCAGGTGGTAATGAGAGTGATGGGGAGTGGCTGTAAATGTAGATGAAGCTTTACTCACTTGCCCACTGGTCGCCTCCTGCTATGCAGCCAGGTCCCTAACAGGCCACAGACCAGTACCAATCTGTGCCCCAGGGCTTAGGGACCCCTGCACTAGATGATTAATATTTACATTGAATTTTGAGAAGCACTGGCTGGGCGCAGTGGTTCACACCTGTAATCCCAGCTCTTTGTGGGGCCAAGGCAGGCAGATCACTTGAGGCCAGGAGTTCGAGACCAGCTCAGCCAACATGGTGAAACCCTGTCTCTACTAAAAATACAAAAATTAGCTGGGTGTGGTGGCCTCCCAGCTACTTGGGAGGCTGAGGGAGGAGAATCCCTTCAAACCAGGAGGCGGGTTTGAGGCCAGGAGTTCAAGACCCGCCTGGCCAACATGGCAAAACCCCATCTCTACTAAAAATACAAAAAAATTAGCTGGGCATAGTGTTGCGTGCCTGTAGTCTCAGCTAACCAGGTGGCTGAGGCAGAAGAATCGCTTGAACCCAGGAGGCAATGTTGCAGTGAGCTGAGATCACACCACTGCACTCCTGAGCAACAAAGCAAGACTCTGTCTCAAAATAAATAGATAAAATAAAATAGAGATGATGATATCAACAAACTCTTATCAGTGACATATTTGAGAGGTATAGTAAAAGAGTGCTTCACTATACTTTTTGTAAAATTCCATACAAAGCATTTAAAAATCGAATTTATGGGATGTCTTTTTAAAATGGTCACTTCTATAATGTGTTTATATTTATAGCACAATTAATTTGTATGCAATAAAAATATAAAATCTACAAATTATGGAATATGCCAGTGTCTCAGTCCATTCCTGCTGCCATAACAAAATAACTTAAAGTGGGTAATTTATAAACAACAGAAATTTATTTCTCACAGTTCTGGAGGTTGGAAAGTACAAAATCAGCAGCAGCATGTTCAGTGTCACTCTCTGCTTCCAAAATGGTGCTTTCTTGGTGCATACTCACATGGTAGAAAGAGTGAAAAGGAACAAGCAGCTTCCTTGCACCTTATATAAGGTCATTAATCCCATTCATAAGAGCTCTGCCCTCATGACTTAATTACTTCCTAAAGACCCCACCTCTTAATTCTAGCATATTGGCAATTATGTTTCAACATATGAATTTTGGGGGGTACATTTAGACCACAGCAGCCAATTTCCTAGTTCATGACATATATGTGAACATCCTGGAATACAGAGGGGTTGGGAGTATACGTAACTCTCCATCTATGTATTTCCACAATCCCAATAACATTTTACACTCATACTGACACTCCAAATACTCTTTCTCCTCTTTCTGTGTTGGTTTCTACTTTTCTGGTAAGCAATTGCCAAAGCAGGAAAATAAGAAGCCCACGACAACAGAATTGTCCAGAGTTTCGTTTCTTTATACAAGAATATTGTGTCCTGGCTGGGCACAGTGGCTCACGCCTGTAATCCCAGCACTTTGGGAGGCAGAGGCGGGTGGATCACTTGAGGCCAGGAGTTCGAAAAAAGAAAACAGTCCATTTATAACCTAAAATGCCTTTATTTCTTCAGTAAATAAGAAAATGAAAAACAAACATAAAAACCCTGTATCCTCTGCTGGTGCATTTCAGAAATGTCACCATTTCAAACATAAGGAAATAACTTTCTTGATAAATACTAGAAGCCCAAGAAAATATGAGGGCAAAATTATCTATAGTCATACGCTAAATATCTCTGTAATCAAAGATAAAGATGCTTAATTTATGTACAATCCTATTATAATTTACCCTGAGTTAATATCCTTGGGGAAAAGAATCCTTTAAGAATTCCATTCAGTAAAACACTATATTAGGAAAATATGAACAACGTATTATTTTAAAAAATATGTTTAGAGACAGGGTCTTGCTCTGTCACCCTGGCTGGACTACAGTGGTATAATCATAGTTCACTGCAGCCTCAAACTCCTGGGCTCAAGTGATCCTCCTACCTCAGCTTCCCAAGTAGCCAGGACTACAGGTTGGCATCATCATGTCTGGCTAATTTTTCTTTTTTTTTTTTTTTTTTTTTTTTGTAGAGATGGGCGTCTCTCTGTTGCCCAAGCTTGTCTCAAACTCCTGAGGGCTCAAGCAATCCTTCTGCTTTGGTGTCCCAACGTGCTGAGATTACAGGCGTGAGCTACTGAGCCTGGCCTACGAACAACATACTAAACTCTAACATCGTCACAGAATGATACTCCAGATTATTTTAAAGTTGTCTGCCTCAACAATATAACAGTATCAAAATTTCCAATTTAAAAAAATCAACTAGGCATGGTGGATCACACTTGTAATCTTCCTTTTGGGAAGCCAATGTGGGGCCATTCCTTGAGCCCAGGAGTACGAGACCGGTCTGGGCAACACAGAAAGACCATGTCTCTACAAAAAAATTTAAAAATTAGCCAACCATGGTGGTGTGCACCTGTGGTTCCAGCTACTTGGGAGGCTGAAGTGGGAGGATCGTTTGAGTCCAAGAGGTCTAGGTTGCAGTGAGCCACGATCATACTCAACACTCCAGCCTGGGTGACAGAGCAAGACCCTGAATAAATGAATGAACGAATGAATATTTAAAAAATCAAACTAGCTCTCTCTTTCACCATTTACTTCTAACACTAGTTTGTTTTACAAGCAAATATCAAGTACACGGTTAGATGGGATACACATTCACTCATAAACCTAAGTGAGCAAAAATCCCAAGGATCTGTAAAACTGTCAAAGGCAACATAAAAGGCTGACCTGGCAAATCGCTTTCTGTTTTTGTTTGTTGTTTTTTGTAGACAGAGTCTTGCTCTGGCACCCAGGCTGGAGTGCAGTGGTGTGATCTTGGCTCGCTGCAGCCTCTGCCTCCCGAGCTCAAGCAATCTTCCCACCTCAGCCTCCCGAGTAGCTGGGACTACAGGCATGTGCCACCATGCCTGGCTAAATTTATGTGTGTGTGTGTGTGTTTGTGTGTGTGTGTGTGTGTAGAGACAGGGTTTCACCATTTTGGCTAGGCTGGTCTCAAACTCCGCTCAAGCAATCTGCCTGCCTTGGCCTCCTAAAGTGTGGGGATTACAAGCATCAGTCACTGCACTTGATCTGCTTTCTTATTTTATAAAACACTGTGATAATTTTTTTCTTACATAATTTTTTTTTTCCACTTTCATTTTAGACTTAGGGGGTAGATGTGCAGGCTTGATTCCTGGGTATATTGCAGGATGTGATCATTTTTAGATCTGAAAACTTTTTATTGGAAACTCATAATCAGTATACCTAATGTAAAAGAATATTACATCATGCACTAAAAACAAATATTTGTGATTATGAAAATCTGTAATATTTGTTGAAAGAGGAATATGTAATTGCAAATGTAAACATAAAACGTGGGAAGAAAAACTGAGTAAGAAGTACATGAGCTGGATGTGGTGGCTCACATCTGTAATCCCAGCACTTTGGGAGGCCGAGGCAGGTGGATCACCTGAGGTTAGGAGTTTGAGACCAGCCTGGGCAACATGGTGAAACTCTGTCTTTACTAAAAATACAAAAATTAGCTGGGTGTGGTGGTACATGCCTGTAATCCCAGCTACTTGGGAGGCTGAAGCATGAGAATCGCTTGAACCCAGGAGGCAGAGGTTGCAGTGAGCCGAGATGGCACCACTGCACTCCAGCCTGGGTGACAAGAGCGAAACTCCATCTCAAAAACAACAACAACAAAAAAGAAGTACATAGAGGCCAAGCAAGGTAGTTCACGCCTGTACTCCCAGCACTTTGGGAGGCCACAGGGAGCAGATAACCTGAGGTGAGGAGTTCGAGACCAGCCTGGTCAAAATAGTGAAACCCTGTCTCTACTAAAAATACAAAATTAGTTGGGCATGCTGGCATGGGCCTGTAGTCCCAGATACTCAGGAGGCTGAGACAGGAGAAGTGCTTGAACCTGGGAGCTGGAGGTTGCAGTGAGGCGACATTGCCCCTTTGCACTCTAGCCTGGGCAACAAGGAGCGAAACTATCTCAAAAACAAAACAAAACAAAAAGTACATGGAAAAGACTTTACCTTTTTCATGGCATCTGTAAGTTTTCTGCCTTGCATAGAACTTTGGTAACAGTGTTTCATATGTAATAATTAGGCATAATATTCAAGAAAGCAGACTTATTCTCCTCCTTCCCTATAACATATCTAAATATAAAATAAGTACCCTAGAATTGCCACAACTGGCTTAGACTTAAGGTTCTCAAGTTTTGCATGTGGGCCTTCAAAGACAAAATATAATTTCCAAACTCTTTATTATGTGGTTTACAGAGCATCTGAAGATTGGTTTCATGAGTCTGAACTTGGTATGAAAGACGTTCAAATTCAAATCCCCAAGCCAGCGCATCAGTGTTTTTGTAGGCTTCACAGTGCTGGGCTCTGCATCCTTCTTTGGCCGCCTTACACCAAAAGGCTGAGTTTGGAAATCAAAAGGGTCAGCCCGGTTTCAGCCCCTCTGCAGACAATAAGTAGAACAGATTAGAATAGATTCACTACTTATTTTATTATACATAATACTTTTACTTTTCCCAATACTTACAGTAGAAAAAAGAAATTTTGCACATCATTGTTTTTTAGATGAGAACATGTTAAGCCTTGAAAAGTAAGTTAAATTAACACTGGAGCTTTACTTCAAACTCTAAACATATAGTCTTTTTTTTTTTTTTTTTTTGAGACAGAGTCTCGCTTTGTCACCCAGGCTAGAGTACAGTGGCCGGATCTCAGCTCACTGCAAGCTCCGCCTCCCAGGTTCACGCCATTCTCCTGCCTCAGCCTCCCACGTAGCTGGGACTACAGGCGCCTGCCACCTCGCCCGGCTAGTTTTTTGTATTTTTAGTAGAGACGGCGTTTCACCTCGTTAGCCAGGATGGTCTCGATCTCCTGACCTTGTGATCCGCCCGTCTCGGCCTCCCAAAGTGCTGGGATTACAGGCTTGAGCCACCGCGCCCGGCCCAACATATAGTCTTTAAAATGCTAATAATACTATTAATCATCAAGTTTTACCATTAAATAAATGTTTTAGATACAGTGGCTTTATTTCAGACTCCATTTCCTGTGGCCTAAAAAATGGGAGAAAAATAAACTTCAACTATAAAAATCTAAATTTCAAATAAGAGGTTATTCTATGTGGAAAAAACACAAACAAGCATTTATAAAGACTGAATAGATATGAATGGAAATGAAAATAACTGACAGTAAATTTCTTGGATTTGCAAATTTTGAATACTTATTTTGAAGGCTGGAATGTTTAGCAACTTTTAACCTTAAATTATTTCAAATCAACCAAGTACTTAGTTTTGAGGAATTTTTGTGAGGGTGAGGCTCATTAGTGAGTTTTTAATCCACAAAAATCCAATTCCAATTACCAAGTAATATTTAGAGTTATCGTAAAGATTATACAGCTGGCCACATATGTTAGGGAGGTACAACAGTTTATAATGGGACACAATACTTTGCACATATTAAAGGTTAATTCCTATTGTATCTTTATCCTTTTTTCCCTTAAAAAATTTTTCCTTTTATTTATTCTTACTTTATTATAGTTTTCCTTTTTCCCAGAGATCACCACAACATTACAGTCTGGTATTTAGTATATAAGCATATTTGTTCTTCAGCATAGTTAACATTTTCCACTAGCATCTGATGCCATCCTACTGTTAATTCTGTTAACTCTGCTGCCTAGATTGCTAGACCCCCACCACAGCTTGGCAGAGAGTGAAGGGAGGTTTTGTTTTTGTACCGCTTTATTCTGGTCTAGTGCAACAGGAAAGAAGAGCTCTCTGCCATTGCAGGTCCCCAGACTAATGTTAGGAAGGGAAAAAGCTTTAACTCTGAGTAAAATTCAGAGTATTCATTATTGCAACTATTAAGGAGAATATTCAAAACTTGGAAATAAGGTTAAGCGATGGCTGCATGACCTTTTAATGTCATGCTAGAGCACTGTTTAAAAAGGCTGCCTAACAGTCATCTAATTCTCCAGGGAAAGTAACTTTGTTGGACACTGTATTCACTATGGCTTGGAGCTAACATATCTACATAAACAAACAATTTTATAGCTAGAGGCTAACTTAAATAAAATGGATGAAGTGTGACAATTCTCTTTTCTGACTAGTAGAAAGAGCAACTTTAAAGATTATACTTTCATTGCCCTATAGAACCTAACCAGTTTTGTATCTAATTTAGCAATCTTATCTCAGCATTCCTTTTTCCCCCATTCATTATAAAAAACAATAACCAAGTTTTTAATATTACCATTTCAACTAACTTTTTCATCCTGCTGGTTCCCTTAACTGAGTTAAATGAAACTTGGGCACATGCCCCCAATCTATTTTATTCTAATTTGAACCTATTTAACTCTCATCTTAGAATTATGTTTCTATGCAGTGGCTCAAGCCTGTAATCCCTGCACTTTGGGAGGCAGAGGGCAAGTAGATCAGGAGTTCAGGAGTTCAAGACCAGCCTGGACAAGATGGTGAAACCCCATCTCTACTAAAAATACAAAAACTAGCTGGGCATGGTGGCAGGCGCCTGTAATCCCAGCTACTTGGGAGGCTGAGGCAGGAGAATCGCTTGAACTCGGGCGACAGAGGTCGCAGTGAGCCGAGATCGTGCCACTGCATTCCAGACTGGGTGACAGAACAAGACTCCATTTGGAAAAAAAGAATCATATTTCTAAGATTACAAGAATTTTATCTTATATCACTGGGATCAGAAATTGTGCTAAATGGCTATTACTAGCTGTAAGGGAGGCTGGGAATTTGAAGATTCACTTTTTAGTCTTTGTAAGCTAAGAAGGAAAAAAGAGCTTTCAAGAGACCAAACCTATAATAACTGTCACTAAAAATGCATGTGTGGTAGTAATGGCAGGGGAATTGTGGGAGAGAATAATCAAGAATGATCCCCAGATCAGGTTTAGGTTGTAAATCTACTAATATGAAGAACTCTGGAGAAGAAACAGGTCAATACTAAGCACTGAGAAATTAAAAGCTTTATTATTATTATTATCATTATTATTTTGAGATGACATCCAATGATTCAGCCCTGACATTATGTACAATTGTTATGTGCTGGATTTTTTTTTTTTTTTTTTTTCTGAGATGGAGTCACTCTGTTGCCCAGGCTGGAGTGCAGTGGTACCATCTAGACTCACTGCAACCTCCACCTCCCAGGTTCAAGCGATTCTTGTGCCTCAGCCTCCCAAGTAGCTGGGATTACAAGCATGCACCACCATACTTGGTAATTTTTGTATTTTTAGTAGAGACAGGGTTTCACCGTGTTGGCCAGGCTGGTCTTGAACTCCTGACCTCAAGTGATTCACCTGCCTCGGCCTCCCAAAGTGCTGGGATTACAGGCATGTGCCACTGTGCCCAGCCTGTGCTGGAGATTTTAAAGGAAGAAAAGTAATTTATAATTATCCAAATCCTTGTAATAGTTGGTCAGTTGGGTGGCAAATCCCAGCCTATCAATTATATAGTAGAGTGCCCCATCCAGTGAAACAGTTTATGACAGAATGCTTGCATTAGACATTGCTTGTATTAGACACTGGATTTGTGGCCTCCAAGAAAATTTTCCAAGCAAATGACTCTATTTACCTCCAATTTACTACAAAACAAACACCTGCAATGTAGGAATTACTTAGAAATTTTAGTTCAAGTGTGTACTAAACACAAATGAAACGTTTTTATAGAGTATAGAAGAACTGTAAAAACACAATGCAATGTTTATTTTCAGATACGGTTGTCCCTCAGTCTACACAGAAGTTTGGTTCTAGGACCTCTGCATATACCAAAATTCAGGCATACTCAAGTCTCACGGTTAGCCTTGTGGAACCAGCCAACAAAAAGTTCGCCCTCAGTATACGCAGGTTTCGCATCCCACAAATACCGTATTAGCAATCCACGTTTGGTTGAAATAAATTTACATATAAGTGGACTCTTGAAGTTCAAACCGTGTTATTGATGGGTTAACTATACTTAACTTTATAAATACCATCAGCAACAACCATATTACCCTTTTCCTAGGAAAAATATCTGATGGTATTTATAAAGTTAAGTATATTTAAACCCTTTATCTGTCAAACATTAATTTTAGAATTCGATAAGGTTTAATTATTAACCAGATTATTCCTCTTCTACAATTTGACTAGTTGATTATGTGGCAAATAAGGACACCAATTACAACAAGGTGGGATGATACTATAACACTATTGGGTACCTATGATCGAGTCCTCTACTGAGTATGAAAACTTGTAGCCTGCCAAGTCGTCCTGAAGTCTACCAATCTTTATTATACTTATTTTAAAGGAATCATCCATTTTGTAAAACTTTTAATTTCCAAAATTTGTACTGCTTTAAATTTGGGAATTTTGTGCACAGTATTAAAAAACCATTTAGGATGATCCCTTAATAAGATTTATCCCATTAAAACAATGAATTTCTATAAAACTATGTCTTCCAGACTCTATATCCAGTTATTAGGTCATACAGATTTTACCTTTGCAATATCTCTTCTATCTATTCTTTTCAACCCCCTAATCACTGTCTTTAGTCTGATCTATAAATTGGCTGTATTCATATTTATCTTCCTCACTAGGCTACAATAGCTTCCTGTAGGTTTTTTCCTTCCAAATCATTCTGATATTGAATTATATTCCTAGAACAAAGGTTAGAAAACGTCATTTCTGTTTTAAGATGTTCAAATGTTCCCAATGCCTACAGAGTAAAATCCAAACTAGTCCCAAACTACTTCTTTGGTTTCATTTCTTACTACATGCCACTTCTCACTTTATGCTCCAGTTTCAACTGCAAATATCCTAATCCAAAATGAACTTTTGTTCCTATTTGCCTTTGCTAATGCTTTTCCTTCAGCCTGGAATCTCTTTACGCTTTTTTCTGCCTAGTAAAATATACTCATCCTTTAAGATTTGATTCAAATACCATCATCTCCTTTGGGGAGGACTACATGTCTACCAATCTGAAACAGATTAATAATTGCTCTGGGCACCCATGGAATTGTACCCTTACAGAAGCATTTATTTTCCATTAGTTTCTGCCTTCTTGGAGCCCATAGAAAAAAAAAGAGTGAATAAATATAAAATAAGAAACATAGTCACAAATACAGGCATAAAGTGTTCAAGTTCAGATACCATATTAAGCAAGTTAAAGTAATTTTTTTTTTTCTTTTTTGAGACGGAGTTTCGCTGTTGGTGCCCAGGCTGGAGTGCAATGGCGCGATCTCGGCTCACTGCAACCTCCACCTCTGGGTTCAAGCCATTCTCCTGCCTCAGCCTCCCGAGTAGCCGGGATTACAGGTGTCTGCCACTACGCTGGGATTACAGGTGTGAGCCAGCGCACCCAGTCAAGTTAAAGCAATTTCTAAATGTATTTGTAAAGCATCTGATTTGTTAGAGCAGATAGTATCCTAACGATTTTGTACAAGATGAAAACCAACTTTGTCATTTTGATCATATTTGAGAGTCACAGGACATTTTTACTTAAATTTTTTTTTTCTCCCCCGCAGGTTGCAGTGGCTCACGCCTGTAATCCCAGCATTTTGGGAGGCCAAGGCAGGTAGATCACCTGAGGTCAGCAGTTTGAGACCTCATCTCTACTAAAAATGCAAAAATTAGCCAGGAGTGGTGGCATGCACCTGTAGTCCCAGCTACTCGGGAGCCTGAGACAGGAGAACCACTTGAACCTGGGTGGCAGAGGTTGCAGTGAGCAGAGATCATGCCACTGCACTCTAACCTACACAACAGAGCAAGACTCCATCTCAAAAAAATTTTTTTGTTGCTGTTGAGATAGGGTCTCACTCCGAATGCAGTGAGGTGATCACAGTTCACTGTAACTTCGAACTCCTGGGCCCAAACTATCCTCTCACTCCAGTCTCCTGAGTAGCTAGAACCACAGATGCGTACCATCACAACTGGCTAATAAAAAAAATTTTTATAGAGACGGGGTCTCACTATACTGTCCAGGCTGATCTGAACTCCTTGCCTCAAGCAATGCTCCTGGCTTGGCCTCTCAAAGTGGTAGGATTATAGGCCACCATGCCTGGCCCATTTTTAATTTTCAATAAAATTTTTTTTCTAATGACACTGTAATTCTGTATTTTAATTATATCATGTGAGTCCAAGAACAATATATGAAACTATGCTACGTTAATACATATTTTCAAAAATAAACTTTGAAGGAGATACCTGTTCACTGAATGTCATCTCAGAGTACAGAGATAAAATCCAACTGGCAATTTTTGAAGCTTTGAAGTATGTGGGATTGCTACTATTCTTGATAAATTTAAAAGATGAATGCAGTTTATATAACCAACAAGAAAAATTACACGCACAATTTTTTCCTTAACATGTCGTACACTGTGATTTGTAGTAAACCAGGCTGGGTGTGATGGCTCATGCCTCTAATCCCAGAACTTTGGGAGGCTGAGGCAGAAGGATTTCTTCAGCCCAGTTCGAGACCAGCCTGAGCAACATGGCAAACCCCCGTGTCTACAAAAAATAGCCAGATGTGATGGTGCATGCCTGTAGCCCCAGCTACTGGGGAGGCGGAGGTGGGAGAACTGCCTGAGCCCAGGGAGGTTGAGGCTGCAGTGAGCTGTGATTGTGTCACCGCACTTTAGCCTGGGCGACAGAGTGAGACTCTTTCAAAAAAAGAAAAAAAAAAAAAAAAGTAAACCAACTATCAAAGTACTGTAAAATAAATTTCTTAAACATGAAACACATGATACCTTGGAAAGGTGACATATGTGGCTGTTTCCTCCTTTTTTTCCTTCTCTTTCTTTTTCTTGGTGTTTCATATTTTGTCCTTAAAACAAAAGGAAACATATTAATGATTGCTTCAATAAAAAAAGACACACAGACCTTACTTATTTTTTAGTAGTGATTACATTCATGGCCCAAAATTTAAAAAGCAAAACATCTCCTTTCTACCTGTCAACCAGCCATCTAAATTTTCCCTTAGTCACTTACGGTTGTTATAACAAAATGCCACAGTTGGGTGGCTTAAACAACAGACATTTCTCACAGTTCTAGAGATTTAGAACCCCAAGATTAAGTTGTCATCAGATTCAATGTCTGGTTAGGGCCCACTTCCTGGTCTCCAGACTACCTCTTATCATGGTATCCCCACAGAGTTGAGAGAGGAAGCTCTAGTATCTCTTCTTTTTCCTTTTTTTTTTTTTTCTTGAAATGGAGTCTCGCTCTGTCACCCAAGCTGGAGTGCAGTGGTGCAATCTCGGCTCACTGCAACTTCCGTCCCCTGGGTTCAATCAATTTTCCTGCCTCAGCCTCCTGAGTAACTGGGGTTACAGGCATGCACTACCACACCCTGTTAATTTTTGTATTTTCAGTAGAGACAGGGTTTTACCATGTTGGCCAGGCTGGTCTCGAACTCCTGACCTCAAGTGATCTGCCTGCCTCAGCCTGCCAAAGTGCTGGAATTATAAGGGTGAGTCACCGCACATGGCCTCTTCCTCTTGTTATGAGAGCACTAATCCCATCATGGGATATCTAGTCTCATGATCTCATCTAAACCTAATTACCTCCCAAAGGCCCCACCATGTAATACATTGTTGGGGGATTAAGATTTTAGCATATGAATTTTGGAGGAACACATTTAGTCCATAATATTTCCCAAAGATAACAACAAATCTAGTTTTTTTTTTTGCATATCTTTCCAAAGATACTTGTATGCATTTATAGGTTACTAAGTATATATGTTCTTCCCTTCAACACCACTACTTCCATAAATGGCAACGTATTTTACACACCATCCTGTGTGGCTATAACTTGAAGGCCATTCCTAATCAGTAAGCAAAGGATTACTTAGTATTTTTTTATGATTGCAATATATTCCATTGTATAGAGATTCCAGAATTTAATCAGCCTACTACAGATGGACAATTATGTTGTTTCCAATCTTTTACATACAATATTGCTACAAATAACATGTAAACATGTGGTTTTAAAGGTGTGTGAATAAATTACTAGAAGTGTAATTGAGGACTCTGGATTATATGTATTTCTAATTTCAATAGATATCATCATATTGCCCTCCACTGACGCTGAATCAATGTTCTTCCCCATCAGCAGAAAGTACCTACACTTCCCTGAACCTTGTTCCCCATGTTATTACATGATGTGATAACAAACTTTTGAATCTTTTAACTAATTAGATAGGTGAAAAATGACATTTTTAATTAAAATCTTCATTTTTGTTACCATGAGTAAGTTTGAGTATCTTTAAATAAATTTAAAAGGCATTTATATCTTCCTGTTGTGAGCTGTCTGGTCCTATCTTCTGCACATTTGTCTACTGGGTTGTAAGACCTTCTAAAATTGATTTTTTCCCCATCCTAAATCACATTTTTAGACTATCTGGCGTGGCCGGCCCTATCGTAAATCAAGTGACCCAAGGCCTCCAGGCAAACAAAGATAAAAGTTGAGTATTCTTTATCCAAAATGCCTGGGACCAGAAGTATTTCTAATCTTAAATATTTTGTTATTTTGGAATATTCATATATACAGAATGAGATATCTTAAGGATAGGACTCAAGTTCTAAAAACAAAATTCAAGGCTGGATGCAGTGGCTCATGCCTGTAATCCCAGCTACTCAGGATGCTGAGGCAGGAGGGTCCCTTGAGGCCAGGAGTTTGAGACCAGCCTGTGCAACATAGAGAGACCATGTCTCTAGAAAAAAATTTAAAAATTAGCCGAGTGCAGTGGCATGCACCTGTGGTTCCAGCTACTCAGGAGGCTGAGGTGGGAGGATCACTTGTGCTCAGTAGTTCAAGGCTGTAGTGAACTAGGATTGCATCACTACACTCCAGCCTGGGTGATAGAGACAGACCCTGCCTCAATACAGATAAATTAATTAATAAAGTTAGTTTATATTTCATATATACCTTAAACACATAGCCAGAAGGTAATTTTATACAATAATTTTTTTTTTTTTTTTTTTTTTGAGACAGAGTCTTGCTCTACCACCCAGGCTGGAGTGCAGTGGCGGGATCTCGGCTCACTGCAATTTCCACCACCCAGATTGAAGCGATTCTTATGGCCTTAGCCTCCCAACTAGCTGGGATTATAGGCACGCGCCACTACGCCCAGCTAATTTTTGTATTTTTAGCAGAGACAAGATTTCACCATGTTGGCCACGCTGGTCTCAAACGCCTGTGATCCACCCATCTCGGCCTCCCAAAGTGCTAAGTTACAGATGTGAGCCACCACACCCAGCCAAAAATTTTTTTTTTTTTTTTTTTTTTTGACACAGAGTCTTGCTCTGTCACCCAGGCTAGAGTGCAGTGGCATAATCTTGGCTCACTGCAACCTCTGCCTCCCCGATTCAAGAGATTCTTGTGCCTCAGCCTCTGGAGTAGCTGGGATTACAGATGCACACCACCAAGCCCGGCTAATTTTTGTATTTTTGGTAGAGACGAGGTTTCACCATGTTGGCCAGGCTGGTCTAGAACTCCTGACCTCAAGTGGTCCGCCTGCCTCAGCTTTCCAAAGTACTGGGATTACAGGCATAAGCCATCGTGCCTGACCTATGCAATGATTTTTAATAATTTTGTGCATAAAATAAAATTTGTGTGTATCGTAACATCAGGAAACAAAAGTGTCACTACCTCAACCACTACCCATGGGGGTAATCTGTGGTTGTTTGGCATCACCATCATTCCTGACTCAGAAATTTATTTGCTACTGATAAGGAATCATTTTCCTATACTTATTCCCACATAAGTACATAACAGCAAAAAATATGATACAACAGTAATAGAATGAAAAAATAATACATTCAGGGTAACCAAGCAGCACAGTAGCACCACCAGAATACCTGTTATCAGCTGTTAAACAACAGCAACAACAAACAATGGCAGGCTTTCATTCCCCACCTATCATGTTGTGTTTTGATTAAAAGGTTACTATACACCATTTTTTTAAAGTTATCAGAAGCAGGTGAGAGACCAAGAAGTGGGTCTTCTAAGGATAAGAAGGCTTTCTGCTGGATGGCTTTTTAAAATGTTTTCTCCAGAGTCATCTGCCTTATTAACAATGCTTTTGATTTAGAAGTCTCTCTCTGACATTATAAACTGTGATGATTTCTTGTTCTTTTGTAAACGTACACTGTTTTAGTCCTTCAATAAGCCCATCACACATTTTCACCATTGCTATCGTTTGGATATTTGACTCTCCAAACCTCATGCTGAAATCTGATCCCCAGTGTTGGAAGTGGGGCCTAATGGGGTGTTTGGATCATGGAGGCAGATCCTTCATGAACGTCTTGGTGCCATTCTCTTAGTAATGAGTGAGTTCTAACTCTATTAGTTCCCACAACAGTTCACCTAGAACTGGTTGTTGAAAGAGCCTGGTCCCTCATCTTCTCTCTCTCTTGCCTTCTCTCTCACCGTGAGATCTGCAGGTGCAGGCTCCCCTTCACCTTCTGCCATGAGTGGAAGCAGCCTCAGTCTCTTGCCAGAAGCAGATGCTGGAGCCATTCTTGTACAGCCTGCAGAACCATAAACCAAGTAAACCTCTTTTCTTCTTTTTTTTAGAGACAGGGTCTCACTCGGTTGCCCAGGTTGAGTGCAGTGGCACAATCATAGCTCACTACAGCCTTGAACTCCTGGGCTCAAGAGATCCTCCTGCTTCAGCCTCCTGAGTAGCTGAGACTATAGGTATGTGCCACCACGTCTGGCTAATTATTACAACTTTTTGTAGAGATGGGGCTCTTGCTATGTTGCCCAAGCCATTCTCAAACTCCTGGGCTCAAGCAATCCTTCTGCCTCAGCTTCCTGAAGTACTGGGATTACAGGTATGAGCCACTGCTCCAGGCCTAAGTAAACTTCTTTTCTTTATAAATTAACCAGCCTCAGGCATTCCTTTATAGCAACACAAACAGGCTTAGACAATCATGTTGTCTGTAGGTATTTTCCTACAGTGTTAACAACATTCATCCTCATTGTCACCATTTTCATGACCACCTTGACTCAGAACCATTTCAGCTATTTCATCACTGGTCAATGAATGAACAACTGGAGTCTCATTATCAATGTTAAAAACTTCAATACCCATTTTTCCAGCTTTCAGGACTCTGAAGGAGTATTTTCTTGCATATATAAGCAGGCCAGACTGCTTATCATTTTTTCTCATTTGACATACGGAATTCTTCAAAGTCACCATCCTGTCCATCTCACTGAACACAGTTGCAGGCCAGAGGTTGTGCCAGGCATGCACAAATTTGTCTTTAATCACTGTGCTCCAAGTGCTGGCAACAGCATAGATGGTAAACTTCATGCTAAACTCCTGAAAACCTTCCACAGCCATGCCCCTGTCCACTGTTGTTACATGCTATTCAAGAAAACGTTTTTATATTTACTCTTCATTGATCTAAGGATACTCTGTCACATGGCTGAATTAATAGTCACATTTTGGGGAAAGTACATGACATAAACATTATTTTTTATGAGAATTTCAGCTGGAGTATGAGCAGAACATTTGTCAAGGAATTTTTAAAAATTTTGTAGTCATCACCCAGTGCAGCCTTCTGTGCTGTGAGCCTGAGCCACTAGTATACAATTTTTGTGAAACCAATCAGAAAAGATATTCCTAGTTATTCAAGCTATTTTGCTAGCATAATGATGGACACATAAGAAATTCACCTGCTGAAAACAGCAAGGACACAGCTTTTGCCTATCACAGCAAGTTTACACTTAATGTGTGCTTAATGCATTAGCCCGTATCAGCAGTTATCCTGTCCCTGACATCCTTAATTCTATAGGGCTGTGTCATCAGCTGTAGTCAGTGTCCTTCCAGGGCGATAATGCCAAAACAGTAATATTTCATCCACATTACATACTTGTTCTGGCATCAGATTTCAACACCAATAGTTTTGGCAAACTCACCAATAAATTTCTCCACTGCTTCATGATCAGCAGAAGTTTTATCACCACAAATCTTTAAAAGTTTAATGCTATGTCTTCTTAAACATTTCTGCAATCACCTGTTGAATATTCACAGTTCCTTTCAATTTTCAGTTCATTATTACACATCTTTGTTTCATGATCAGCAAACTATTAAGTGGCATAATGTTCACTGCAATGCTGGCAGATCCACTCTTTCGATACACAATTGAGACTTTCATTTTCAGCTTTATGCAGCGCTGTTTTTGTTTTTTGTTTTTTGTTTTTTTCTCTCACTGACTTATCTTTGTCCTTTCAACGTAGAACTTCAATAGTTCATGTTTCTGTTTCTTCAGGTCATATACATAATGATTCCAACACCCTGCTCTTTTGTAAGACATTTGACACTTACACCACTGTCCAGTTTCTCCAGCCGCTTGACTTTCTCTGTTATATATAAACACAAATGCTTCATTTTTCTTATTACTATTACTCATAAGGGTATCTGCAGGCCTTTTTGGCATTTGTAACAGTATCTTTATACCCAAAGAATAAGCAAAACAAAACAAAACCACAGTGAGTCATGCATGTAAGTCTTGGCCCCATGTGGGGCACTGTGGGGAACGTGCCATTTGGTGTGGCCTGTGCACATGTCATTTATTGTCTTTTGTAGATATGCTTCCATGGGGGAATCTGGAAAAAAAAGATATACTGCAGCTAAAGTGGGCTGGAGGGGGGTCTTTATTTCCTTGGGTTTGCTGAATAAACTGTGTTATATACCTGTTTTTCAACTGCGACCCATCACGTAAATCTCAGGTGTGAAATATTCCACTTGTGGTGTCATACTGGTGTCCAAAAGTTTTGGATTTTGGAGAATTTCAGATTTTCAAATTAGAGAGTGCTCAAAGTATACTCCTATCAAGCATGACATTGGGTTTAGAGACTATCGGGCTTACAGATTAATTCCCAGAAGTCAAAGGCAAGGGCTAGACTTCTCTTAGGGCAAGATTAAATTCTTTTTTTTTTTTTTTTTTTTTTTTTTGAGATGGAGTCTCGCTCTGTCATCCAGGCTGGAGCGCAGTGGCCGGATCTCAGCTCACTGCAAGCTCCACCTCCCGGGTTTACGCCATTCTCCTGCCTCAGCCTCCCAAGTAACTGGGACTACATGCGCCCGCCACCTCGCCCGGTTAGTTTTTTGTATTTTTTAGTAGAGACGGGGTTTCACCGTGTTAGCCAGGATGGTCTCGATCTCCTGACCTCGTGATCCGCCCGTCTTGGCCTCCCAAAGTGCTGGGATTACAGGCTTGAGCCACCCGCCCGGCCAAGATTAAATTCTTTACTACACACCTACACTATAATTTATCTGTCTTTTCTATTGTTAATAGATATTTGGGTTTATTCTATTTTTTGACAATTATGAACAACATTGCCATGAACATTCTTGTACAGATACACTGATATAAAAATGCATGAGTTTCTCTGGAGAATATACCTAGGAGTATGACTGCTGAGTCTTTGGGCTTGGGCTTCAATCTATCAATGTTTATCTCAAGGTTTGGGGACTTTGTGATATATATAGAAAGGCTTTCTATATATATTTCTTAATCATCTCTGATTAAGATTTCAAAAACTTTCCAATGGTTTCTTCAATTCTTGTATGGTTTCATTTCTTTGCGTGTAAATCTTTGATTCATCTGGAACCTATCCTAATATAAAGCTGAGGCATGAATTCAGCTTTAATTTTTCTGCAGATAGCTGGTTGTCTCAACATTACTTTTTAAATAAGTCAGCTTTTCCATACTGATTTGAGGTGACTGCTATATGCCAAATTTTGTGTGTATTGCTTTTTTCCCCTAAGCTATTTCACTGATCTGTCCATCTAGCTATGTGTCAATACCTCAATATTTTAACTTTATATTTTTCAATATCTGGTATGGCTAGTTCTCCTTATTAGAACAATCTAGTCTCGCTTTTTTTTTTTTTTTACTAGAACTTTAGAATAATCCTGTCTAGTTCTACTCTAAAAATGTTGTGGTTTATTTTAAGGTGGATTTAAATGTCATTAAAATTTAATCTAAAAGTAGTTGGTATCTTCATGATATAGAATATTCCTGTCCAAGAACATAGTATGTCTTTTCATTTATTTCACAAATCATTATAGTATTTAAATATTTTATTCATAATACCTTGCATATTTCTCAAATTTATTCCTATGTATCTTTTAAAAATTTCCACTGTAAATAGGATTTTTCCATAAAATCTTCTGATATCAATATATGTAAAGATTATCGATTTTCAAATTCAGAATTTTACACAGAAATCTAACTGAATTCTATTAGTTTTTAAATAAACTTTATTTTTTAGAGAAGTTTTATGTTCACAGCAAAATATACACAGCAGAAAGTACAGAGAGCTCCTATATACTCCCTGCCCACATACATGCACAGCCTCCCTCACTATCAACATCCAGCATTAGAATGGAGTATGTTATAATCGATGACTCTGCATTAACAGATGATCATCACCCAAAGTCCATAATTTACATTAGGGTTCATTCTTGGAGTGGTAAATTTTATGGGTTTTGACAAGTATACAATGAATGACATATATCTACCATTATATTATTGTATTAGGGTTCTCTAGAGGGATAGAACTAATGGGATATACTATTATATATTATATATAATGTGTTTGTTATATATTATATGTGTATATAATATATAATGTATATATTATGTGTATATATTATCTATTATATAATATATATTCTCATATATATGTGTTATATTGCTAAGGAGTATTAACTCACATGATCACAAGGTCCCACAATAGGCCATCTGCAAGCTGAGGAGCAAGGAAACCAGTCTGAGTCCCAAAATCGAAGAAGTTAGAGTCCAATGTTCGAGGGCAGGAAGCATTCAGCAAGGGAGAAAGATGTAGGCTGGGAGGCTAAGTCAGTCTAGTCTTTTCACATTCTGCTGCCTGCTTTTTATTCTGGTCTTGCTGGCAGCTGATTAGATTGTGCCCACCCATATTAAGAGTGGGTCTATCTTTCACAGCCCACTGACTCAAATGTTAATCTCCTTTGGCAACACCCTCACAGACACAGCCAGGATCAATACTTTGCATCCTTTAATCCAGTCAAGTTGACACTGAGTATTAACCATCACAATTATCATATAAAATAGTTTTACTGTCCTCAAATTCCTCTATGTTCTGCCTTTTTGTTCCACCCTCCCCCCATAATTTTTAAAGAAATAAACTTCCAATTGATTCTCTTGAGTTGTCTAGGTATAAGAACATACATCCTAATAATTATAGTAACTTCATTCTTCCTTTCCAATGTATATCTCAATTTTTTTATTTTTTCTATTTTTAATTGATATTTCATAGCTGTACATATTTTGGGACTATATGTGATATTTTGTTTCCTTTTTAATTTCTTTATTAGCTTATCTGCCAAATCAATAGATGCATAATGTGATATTTTGATACGTGTGTAAGATCTATAATTATCAAGTCAGGGTAACTGGGATATCCATCACCTCAAAAATTTATCTTTTCTTTGTGTTGGGAATACTACAATTCTTCTCTTCTAGTTGTTTCCAAATAT